CAGATACTAGGCTGTTGAGCCTAGTGAATCAATGCAGGAGAAGCGAGCGGTTTGGGAAAGCCCCTTAAACCTGTCGCTGTAGTGTCCATGATTTCACACATTTAGTACAGTTTCCTCTTGTTTTTCGCCCCAGCAACCTCCTTTCTTCTTCCACAACCAAAAGACCAAGGGCTGAGAATGGCAGTCATCTGCAGCTTCTCATCAGATATATTCTCGATGAGAAGCAGCTATAAACAGCAGCTGTTTTAAACAAGAGGTGCTTTGTTCATAGCTTATACTTCCACAATCTAGTTCTTCTTTCCCTTTCTGAACACTGAATGGTACAGAGAGTTATTACTGTCACGCAGACGGAGAACGTACGTGCTGGATGGCTGTAGTCTGCGGGGTGTGTATAAGTGTCACTTTTTCAACCCGGCTGGCCCAGACAAAGCCAACGTGAGGCAACGCAGAGGTCGGCCTTTGTTGCTGCTAGTTCTTTCATGTCGGCTTGATGTGCCTCTGCCCTTAGGACCCCACAAGTCTGAGCAGCACGCACATGAGACACGCGAACACAAAACAACCACATCTGAGCATGGGGACGAACAGAAGGAGGATAAAGAAATGAGGCATTTCTTATTTAATGGTTCTTGTAGTACATCACTAGTTGAACTTGCCTGCTCATATCAAAAATAAGTTTAAAAACTGCAGCAGAAATAAATTTGAATTTGTCTTTCGAGTGGCACAGTTAACTCAGTAAAATCAAGTTATAGAGCTAATTTAGTGTGGCATTAATATTTTAGCATTATTTTTGAGGCTGCTGAGGAAACGGCAAACACTTAACCCCATCAGATGTATCTGTTTGTTATGTTCACGATAACTGCGATGTTTCAGTCTCCCACAAGTCTGAGGGACACATACATCAGTCGCATGAGCACAAAACAACATTATCGGAGCACAGAGAGGAATGGGACAAGGAGGAGCATAAAGAAAAGAAAGGTATCTCTTTTATATCCAGTATAGTGCTGGCAATGTTTCACATATTGAGGTTTCCCTGTAGTGACAAACTTTCACCACAATTTAAACTTGTCAAGTAGCACAAAATGCCCCCTGAAATCTGGAAGCAGCAGGATCTAAATTTACTCTTGTGCTGATGACATTTGTTGTGTCAGTCTCCCACAAGTCTGAGGGACACGTGCATGAGAATCATGGCCACAAAACAACAACCTTGCCTGAGCATGGGCAGGAGGAGCATAGAGGAAGAAAAGCTGAATCAAAAGGTATCTGTCTTCTTATGTACATTGTTGGCAGCAACGTTCTTGTAGTCTTACACCTATATTTTACTGTTAGGGATGGAAACATGCAGTAGATAAACGTTTAGCACAATCTAGACATACTGTACTATACTGAGAAAAATAAAAGTGGAAACATATTGAAAATTTGCTTGTCGGCAATGGCTGTTTCAGTCACCCACAAGTATGAGGAGCACATCAATGGCTACGCCACAACAGCCTTATTCAATCATGGGGAAGAGAAGCACAAGGAAAGAAAGAGGGCTTTTATGTAGTAGTGGCTTTTTATTCTGTAATTTAGCTGGGTTTATTAAAGATGTCTTACAAATTTCCCTCACAAGCCAGCTTGGTAACTAAGCATTAAACTGGGCCACTACAAACAGCAGAAATATCTAAATACATGTATCTGTTCAAAAACATAATAGCCTTGTTGGCAGGGTAAAAGCTAAATTTGACACCAAAGCTAGTGTCTTTCTTTTAATCAGATTCTGACTGTAGCTGCAGGCTTAAATAAAATTACAGGAGAAAAAGAACCACAAACACACACACACACACACACGCACCAAGTCTATGAAGTTTTCCTCATATAATGTTTCTGTTGACAACTGTGGCATTTCAGTCCCCCACAAGTCTGAGGAACACATACATGAGCCTCACAACCACAAAGTAACAACTTCATCTGAGCATGGGGAGAAAAGAAAAGCTGAGGAAAGGCATCTCTTACACTCAGAGTGGTGGCAATCTTCTGTTAAAATGTACCTCACATTTTTGTGTGTTACTGTATGTCAAATACACTGACCTATTGTTCCAGCCCTATTAAATCTCTATTTTTAGTCAACTACATTAGAGTATACCATACATAAACGGGAAATACAAAACATTGGGAAAGCTTTCTCACAAATCTGCAGATATCGTCTTGTCAGTAGCTCTTGTTTGGTAAATTGAGGTAATCTGTGCTACATCAGTATAGATTGATTTGAGAGTTGTTGCTCCTTTGTAGTGCACCATGTCACTGAATCACTGGAGGGGGAAAGAAGCGGTCATGACACCACAACACACACTTGGGAACTTGGGAAAGACACAGAAGAGGAGGGAAAAGTGAAAAGAGAAGGTATAATGTGGACATGCAGTGCAACAGCATAGTGATCCCTAACTGGCTGCACACTGGGACCTAAAATTGATCATGATGAGGTTAATAGAAGACAGAGTATTGTATTTATATAATATGTTCCTCAGAGCTGCTCCATTAAATGTGCCAATTTAAATCACTGGAGCCAAGAGCTGAGTCATTATTTTCTTGGTTGAATCTGCCAAGAGACATTTATTATTCCTAGCCAAATCATCAGCTACAGTGTAAATTTATTAGGTCTTTATGTTTTTAAATGATTTTTAAGTCTTAATTTTGAATAAACATTTTTCAATTTCAGTTTGGTTCACACAATCCTCTCCAGCAGTTGTCATTGAATTAATTGTAGACGTTACAATTTCCATTTTTGAGCACATGTCGGCTTAAAAAGAATACATTCTTAACCTTGAAAAAAAAAAAGAAAAAACATTTGGCAAAAACATCTCACCACCAAGACCCATTCTGGTGGCACAAGTAGCTGTTCTGGACATCTCACAGTCTGTGGGGTCCAGCTGTTGATAAGGAAACCATTAAACTGTTGGTTTTTCAACCAGCCACACCAGACTGCCAGTCCACTGCAGATATCACAGACATTTAAATATTCTGAGTCAGGTGCTCCACTACAGTAGATCAAGTCTCACAACACCTTGAAGATAACTTGTGGGTTCTACTGAATCAGTTGAGCAACACTACTGTACTGTAGATGAACATGTCAGCTTATAGAACAAGGCGCCCTACTTCTTTCAGGTAGAATCTAGTCTGATCCACGTCTCTGTAGTTCTGATAGCTGTGACCAACAGGCTACACCTGCTCCAGCTGTGTCAAGGTCTAGTGCTGTAGATGACTGGTGCTGAAATGAATCTTAATACAACAATTCCTTCATCCTTCAAGGGCTTCTGAAACTCTTGATCTCAGGAGAGCCCCAGGCCAGACAGTTGTTTGGGATCATATATGATGATTTCAAAGGTAAGAGACCAATGAGAGCAGCACTTGGTCTGAAGATACACACAGGAGACTTGAGCTTTGTTAGATCCAGTGGGTTGTAAAGTCTTGCTGCTGTGTGAATAAAATGTGAATGCCATTTTTTTAAAGTAGAAAACCTGTGGAAGGATTCTGCTCATTGCATCCTTTTTCTTTCATTCTGCTCATTCTATGCATCTCTGCCTCCCTTGTGGTTCTGTTTGCTTTGTGTGCATGATCAAGGTAAGTATCCAAACTGTAAATTCAGAAACTATCAAACAACTACCCACACCGTCATTATTGATTTTAGAAACAATGCTTGGTAGCAAAATATACCATTATTCATTCAACTGCAGGCAGGGCTCTCTTTCTCTCAGTGTAACCATCTTTCACCATTCACAACTGATAAATACCAATAAAGCAGCATCTTGACTCGTAACATTAATTTGGGGAACAATGTCCAATTGCCTCACTAGTCTGTGGAGTAATTGGCCATTTATATTTAATTAGGCAGTTCTTCCCCCACTGCTAGCATGGTTCCCTCAGTGCTAAGAGAGGCACTTTACGGTGCTGCGCTCACTGGCTTCCTTTAAACCAGCTCATTAATATTTCAGCTGGAATCATCAACCAAACAATAATAAAATAATAATGTGACGGCTGATTAAACAGCTAAACTCTGACTTTTTAATCTGCATTTAAATGTGTATTTGCATAAACATGCCTGGTAAACACCTCTTTAGAGGACAGTGATGCCTTGCAGCACACTATTGCAGCCAACTTCTAAAGCTTAATAAAACCTTAATTAGGTACCAGCCTCAGCTAAGATAATCGTAGTGAGAATGTAGAGCAACACCCATCCACCTCTTCCTGCACCTCTCTGCACAATGCAGATCCTATGCTAAACAATATCGGGTTTTAATTTTTGTTTCATTGGAAAAAATAAGGGTCTTACTGTAGCATTCCCCGCAGCAGCTCTGATTTAAATTTGGAGGAAGTTCATGCATATAGAGCAAAACCTGCAATCAAGTCCTCTCAGATAATTTCATGAATTACAAAAAGAAAATTTAATTAAGAGCCCTGATTGTGCAGCACTTTATGAAAGGGAATTTAAGTCTGTGCAAATGAAGGACAAACAGTGAAAGAAGAGGAGGGGCAGTGGAGGTTTTCTGTCGACTAATCAGGGTCACACTGATTTCACGGTGGCAGGTGCAGCCTGGAAACACCTACTGTATCACTCCCCTCCTACTCCCTTGGTTATGATTCAGTGTCTTATCTACTTGTCCAGTAATGCAATTCAATTCACAGATGCATTTAACATGCCTGTACTCACACAGCTGCACACAAACAAGCATGTACACACACACACACACACACACACACACACACACACACACACACGATAGTGGAATTCCCATCAGTAAACAGTGCAGCACAGTGAAGCAGACTCAGCAAACCTGCAACCGTGGTAATGGAGAGGGTGTGGCTTGTCTTTATTGAACCAATATAGAGTCAGAAAGGCAAGTCATAAAACACAGCGATTCAATTGGTTTGTTAACTGATGCCTAACTAAAACTTACTAGTGCAAGCAATTTGTCATGTCCTACTGTCATTGAAGAAGACAGCCAACTCTGTCTCTTCTTGTTTAGACTGTGAGTGCTATGGACACTCCAACCGCTGCAGCTACATCGACTACCTGAACATCATCACATGCGTCAGCTGCAAGCACAACACCAGGGGCCAGAACTGCCAACACTGCAGACTGGGATACTTCCGCAACGCCTCTGCTGAACTGGATGATGAGAGCGTCTGCATCGGTCAGTCAGCTAGGGGACAGTGAGAGTGGGTTGAGGGGGATGGTGTGTGTGTGTGTTGGCACAGTGGTGAAGAGTAGTGTGTGACTGACAGAGGCCGCAGCCGTTACCGCTTTTAAGATTCAAGCACCCACTCAAATGTTTTTTCAACTGAAATCTACCATGTATGTAGTCTAGTCTTTTATGAACCACTTTTGCTTAGTACTGTAGCACAAGGGCTTACAAAAGAAACAGATTCAAGTTGTGTGTGTTTATACACTGGCTGAACAATGAGGAAACTGTAGCCCTTTTTATATCTGGTCCTTGAGCTTTAGCAAACAAAACAGTTTGGGGCATGTAAATAGAAACTACACTAATCAATATACTTTATATTAAAGACCAGCATGGCGTTGTGTAACATAAGGGTCCCTGACAGTGATCTACACACACACACACACAAATACCAGTATTATTGCACCTGATCTACAAACACACAGATAGCAACCACAGTGCTGTGGTTATGTAATATGGGTCTCTTCATCATTTCACTCTTATGAATATTTTATAATAAATGTGTTAATTTAATTTGGGTGCAAGTTAAAAAAAAACAAACAAACTAAGCTATCGGTTTACATCATGAACCAAAGTTTCTCTCATGACATCGACTAAGAAATGCAATGCAAATCTAAAAATCAAAAACTGAAAAATTGGTTTTGCTGAAGTTTTCAGATCCTTAATTTAAGCCACATTGGCAGCAACTACAGCTTCAGGTTTTCGTGGGTAAGCCTCCACAAGCTTTGTACACCTGGATTTTGCCAGATCCTTTTGTCCCAGAAGATCCTCTCAAGCTCTGTTAGATTGGATGGGAAGTGTCTAACAGGCAACTTCAGGTTGCTCCACAGATGTTCTCTGAGGTTGGGCTAGGTCGCTCAAGGACAGTCAGACTCTTGTCATGGGTCTATGGATCTACTCCAGCGTTGTCTCGCCTGTATGCTCTGGGTCACTGAAAGGTGAACAATCACCCCAGTTTCAGGTCGGTGCACCCAGAGAACCTTTTCTTCAAGGACCTCTCTATATTTGACTGCATACATCCTTCCCTCTGTTGTGACCATGCCTGATTGATTGAGAGCTGCCGAGATGTTCATCCTTCTGGCAGGTTCTTGCTTCTGTGGAAAGGATTTTTTTTAAACTCAGTCAGAATGACTATTGGGTTCTCGGTCACCTCCCTGACCAAGGCCCTTTTTGTCCAGTTACTCACTTCAGCCAACTCTACCTGGTGGCCCCAGACTTCCCCCACTTCACAACTATTGAGGCCACTCTGCTCGTCGGAACACTCAAAGCTTCAGATATGGTTTTACACCCTTGCCTTGAATGTTTCACCACTAAATTTTATCACGGTACCTTATATACACAGGTGTGTGTCTTTGTAAAGACACATCAGGGATAATTAAATGACTTCCTCTTTTATCTCCACCTCTCTCTCTTCAGAGTGTAACTGCAACCAGATGGGTTCTGTTCACGACCGTTGTAACAGTACAGGCTTCTGCCAGTGTAAAGATGGCGCCACAGGGGCCAAGTGTGACGACTGTGTGCCGGGCTACTACTGGAAACAAGGCTGTTACCGTGAGTAGAATGAGGGCTGAAGAAATGTTGTAGCCTTCCAGGACCTTTGTGAGTGCACTGTGCCACTTAGCTGGTGAATCCCCCTGATGTATTCTTTACTCCTGGGAGAATAGATCATGTAGCTCATTAGCAGCTTCAGCTACTCCTTTAATTGATGACCCTCTCACACCTTAACCCCACTGCAGGTAATTGCCTTCCTCCACCATTTACCACCATCTAGTCAGGGGCCTCGGTCTCAAACAGGCCCTCCCCACCGACCCACTACAGAATGTTTTAGGTTTGACAAGTCATTTCAAGTAGTCCAGTGCAACAGAAGCAATTATCTTTAGTGTAATAAAAATGTTTATGTAAATATTTCTTGTCACAGAAACCTGATTCTCTTTTCTCAAAACATTTTTAGGTTAAGTATCTTGTGCAGTACAGCTACCTCTGTGCTTTTCTCTAATGTCTTTTATAGCATTTTAATGATGCTATTTGTTCCGCCAATTACGCCCTTACTTAAATATCACACATGCAGTGCATTTTCTGCTTGGTTAGAGACAGTGATTTTAACCTGACCCTCAGAAAGTGCAGGCACAAGAAAACAGACACTGAAAAGGGCTGCAAAAACAAAAAAGGCAGGTGTTACCTGTTGTTGTCCCTGAGGCAGAGACTGGAGAATTTATCTTGCCTCTTTCCTTCCTCTTGCTTTCATTTCTACTTTGTTCTCGCTGCCCTGAATTCTACTCCTCATACCATATCTCTGTTTCCCATCACGCTGTTTCTAACACTGCCGGTCCTTATCTTCCCCCGCCTGTCTCGCTTTGCCATACATCTTTCTTTCGTCTATGTGCTCTTTACTCCCCTATATCTTTTTACCACCTGTCACTCTGTCACTTTGCCACACCCTTTTTATTCCCAACTCCTTTCATTCTCCTTACTTCTGCAATTTTTCCCCACTCTCTCTCTCTCTCTCCCTCCTTCTCTGTCTCATCTGCCTTCATCTCCACTCACAGCTAACCTGTGCGATGAGGAGATGCTCCTGTGCCAGAATGGAGGAACGTGTTACCAGAACCAGAAGTGCATCTGTCCTCCAGAGTTTAAGGGGGTGCTGTGCCAACACTCTCGCTGTGAGGCAGGCAAGGACTGCAACACTGCCTCTTCGCCGCACTTCTCCACGGCCACCCTGCTGCTCTGTACTCTGCTAGGCCACCTGCTGACGAGATTAACTCCGCACTGAGCCACAAAAAAAAACTCTCAAACCAAGGAGTGTGTATATGTGTATGTACGTGAGGTGAGGCGAGACCCAAACTGGGTAGGGCCATGCCTGTGATGGACCCAATGAAAACACACCTCAGCAGTCGCATAAGTGCGCACAACATTAACTGGCCCCTTATGAAAAGACATGCGCACACACACACCCCTCAAAGGACTGTTATAATACCGATTGTGTGCTCATGTGTGAGGGGAAAAAAAAAGGGGGAGTGACCTCAGAGAAAACAAATGCAGACAAAGGGAAAAACAATCATACCAACCACTGTTCCCTTTATTCCTGAGCTGGAGCTATGTGCATCAAACCAAAAAGCCTAAAAGAAAACACTTCAATCACCACTGTTTCACGTCAAAGGGAATGGCTGTTGTAATGACAATGACCTCTTGTTTTTCCCCCACTTTTTTCCTTGGTTGAGTTGAGGATCTCACCTCCGTTAGACTGATGGCCAATGAGTGTGTGTCAGCCTCGGTGAGAGGACGAGACATGTCAACATGATGGACAGATGGGTCAGGAGGCGAGGTGTGCATTTCATCCTGCTGCTGAGGCCTACATAGTATATTAAACAGGTCTCATTTCTTCAGAAAAATGAGACATGGTTTTACATTTATTCTACTTCTGCTGCGTTATTTTTTTTTTTAATTATACCTTCAGTCATTGTATCTAATGTGCCCACTAACAGTTGCTGAGATTATACATATTACATAATATCCAGGGGCTTATGAATTATAAAAATTTAGTCACTATTATGGTTGTTATAGGAATGAGTGATTGTTGCCACACATAGCAAGATTTAATCTTCACGCAGTATTCAGGAAGAGAATTTAAAATAATTTAACTTATCAGAAGAATAAAAGAGAGAGACAAGATATCAATCATGTATCAATATTATATGACATTATTTGAATATTTTTTGTAGAAATTATTTTTGTTTCAAGTTACAATAAATTATAAAAACATTTACAGCTATTCTAAATGAGCATTTTATTACGCATGTGTAAACCTTGCAGTAAATGTTATTTGCCCTCTTGCTTGCACTTTATTGATTCAATCTAGAGTCCAACATTACATGCTTTTAACATCTTTTTTCAGTGGGCTAAAAGAAGAAAAAAAATCATTTAATAACTTAAGACAAGAGAGCCCTAATTTATTTTGGACAGGGTGTTGAATGCACATTAAAAATGGATTATTCCAATTTGAAATCTGACAATCATACAACTTATTTGCTGTCAATAAGAGAATATAAATGATTTTATTCTGATCAAGCTGCAGAGCTTTTTTTTTTTTATCTGAAAGTGTCACCTGCAGATACACCACAAGTAATTGGTTAAATTAAAAACATCTTCCATAATATAAAGAGTGGAGATACGCTCATTCATAATTGTCCTAGGACACTGAGATCGACTGAGGTCAGATTTTCTCATCGTTACTCTCCTTCAGATTCCTAATCCTTGTTTATGAGGCTGTTCCAGTGACATGTTGTGTTTAGCAAACATGTCTTTTGAGTGTTTTTTCTTTACAAATTTACAGCATCACTTCTCGGATAACTGTTCCATTGCTGAGTCAGCCCAGGTACACAGTGGATAAAGAGACATGAATGCTGCATTACAGCAGAATGTAGTGTACATCAAAGATATATGTGAGACTAAGCCTGTGAGAAATGACAAGACGGGGATTCTGATACGACTCCTCTGTTTCTGAGCTGGTGTTAGCTGCATGAGCTATTCTGTGTGTAGGGCTCATCCCCTCTGAGCCTGAATGGTGTCAGAGATATGGGAGGAATACTTTATGACTGCAGGACAGTGAGAAATGATAAATGAAAGGAACACATTTCTTCATGAATCAAAGAGCAGGTAATTCTCACAGAAGAAAATGTATGGCAGTGTACGATGTTTAGGTCGAGTGCAAACACTTGTGATCACGGAAAAAAGATCAGGTTTGGAGGATTATAAGATCAATGATATGAAATATGGCCAAAGTACAGGCACAGAACTAATCAAATAAACAAATTATGACAAAACTGTGTTGGTACGAGAGCTCAAAACACTCCAACTTAAAGGAATAGTTTAACATTTGGAGAAATTGTTTTTTGCCTTTCTACCAAGAGCTTGATGAGAACACTGATGCCACTCTCACACCTGTATGGCAAATACATATGAAGCTACAGACTGAAGCCAGTTAGCTTAGCATAAAGACTGGAAGCAGGGGTAAACAGCTAGCCTGGGTCTGCCCAATGTTCAAAACCCCTAGAGCTCAATAAATGACAAATAAAACTGGAACTGCCTACTTACACCTATTCAAAACAAAAGTACAAACAAGTAAATGAATATGCCAATCAATCTACCTAATTAAACACACAAAAAAGTAGCAACACTATGTTTGCTGCTTTGAGATGAACCTGGAGATACATTAAAAAAAAAATGAATTAGTGTAGACTCCCAAAACAACATAAAGCTCCTCTTTTTATCTCACCTCTGACTCTGGATAATGATTGTAAAAGATGCTTTAACTCATTTTTACACGCTTGGTGTCTGAGTAAATTTCAAAGTGGTCTTGCACATAATGCGAGACCACTGAGCCTTGTGTATTAACAGAAAGAGATGGAGAGCAGGACAAGGTAGTGCAGATACAGAAATAAGCACATAGTGTCATAGCCATTTCATGAACATGACCTCAGACAGAATCTGGACTTAGAAAGGTAGAGTGTAGCACGTGCCAACTCTGGTAAGCATCTGTTTAAAAGCTTGCAGATGCTAGAGAACAGCGGCTGAACAAGTTTGTCTTTGGCCTCCTGCAGTCAGCTGGCTGAAATATGCCTCTGTTTGTCACTGTCATCTCTGTACCGTTTTCCCAGCTGCACCATTGCCTCCTGTTTGGATTATTTTCAGCTATGGATTTCACACAGGTCCTTAAGGCTTCCACATCTGATTGTCCTAAAATTTCCTTTTTCAGGAATCCATTGTTTAGAGGATACACAAGCCAGTTACCTTCAGCATGAACAGGTCTCTGCCAGTCATACATTGCACAGCCATATCCTGCACATGACCTGATTTCTCCTCTAGCTTTGTGCATTTCTCTTGAGCTGATGTCATGTTTCATCATCTCTCTTAAAAACATGTAAGGTTAGTGGTACAGCAAACCTTTGCTAGACACAATCTCTCTGGGGGAAGCCTGACTGAGCCCATCATATTTTTGAGAAGGCAGCATGGACTCAATCTGGGTCAAAAACCCTCACAGCTCAAGTCCCACTGTTTGCACACCGACATCCTCGCATCACTACAGCCAGCTTTCAATCAAGAGTCCAAATCAGTTCCTTTTTGAGAATGGAACCATTTAAAACTGGTGATTTGACAACTGTGCTGTGAATGTTCATGTGTCAGTCCTGTACAGCTGATCCTGACACCTGAATGTAATTCAACTTCACTGCCAAAAAACCCTGAAGAGAAAGAAGGAGCAAAGGACTTGATTCTGTGTTGTTAGAAAGCAAAACAGCATCTAGTCAAACAACACTACATAACTAAATATGCTTAAATAAAAAAAAAAAAAGAAAAGAAAATTGAAGGTATCTTTTAGGGCAGCCTTACAGATTTTCTACGTCTACCTAAAATAAAAGTAGTGTCCAACCACACTGTCATCTGACATGTCAACATGCAAGTATGGGCTGGCACTATATTAAATAGATGGATAGAAAACCAGCAGACTAATCTTTATGACCAATAAAACCATGTAGATTAGTACTGATGACAGGGAAGAGATGTTTTTGTGTGCAGGAAACAGACTCTCCTGAAGGTACCAAGATGTGAATACTGTTAGATTATCTGTCATGCTGGATCTTTTTCACAGAGTCAATATCATTTCTCAACAACAGTTATGCAATCTTCTCCAACAGGAACAGGAAAAATAAGAACTACCAGCAATAAACCCCCTTTAAAAAAAATAATAACTAATGTAATCCCAGTGAAGCAGCTCAGGTGCAGAGATGTGTTACTGTAGGTGAATTTAATATGCCTGGAGCAACTGAAACTATGTTTATATGAAACTGTACTTTTAAACTCCATCTGCTACCACCAAAATGGTGTGGTAGCTGTGTTGAACCTGTGAAATATCACAGAATAAGGCTGCATTAATATGCATCAGCAATTTATGCATCACGAGGCCACCACCGAGTATGTGGAAGCAACAGCCTCCAGTTGGCATTAAAGGTCTAACAGCAACGGGTGTGTGGTGGGTTTCATGTAGCCGGGGCTCTTTCCACATGAACACACATGCTCCTCCCAAGGACTCACGGTAATGTTATTTACAAACAGAAATTGAACACATTATGTTCAAATTAAACATATATTCTTTAAATTTACACCTCGGGTCAGTAGAGCATAGCCCCACTCCCCTCCCCTTTAGCTGATTAAGTTCCCATCATTCATCTTGGTGCCATGTTTACCTGAGGCATCTGTAAGGACACATGCAGGCGCTGCCAGACATAAGGAGATGCTGGGCACACAGTTTTCTTCAGCACAAGACAGAATTAATACCAGTAACTTTCAGGTGAAGAAAACTGATCTAACAATTGTGCAAAAAGCTCATTTGTAAAGCAGAATACTGTTAAAACAAAAATAAATTACTAAGGCCATAGTACACCTACCAACACAAATGCAGTAAGTCAGGACAAATCAACAAGGAGCCAGACTAAATAAGTATAATGTCCAACATTAATCTTTCAACCTTTTATTCAAGCATTTTCTCATAAAAATAAACTATATTTCTGTCAAGGTCTGGAGCATTTAGCATTCACTTCTGTCATGAAATCCATAAATGGAGGAATCATAACGAGCTAACCTTTATCTTTGCATTAAAACAAGGATGATTTAAAAGGTAGAAATACAACAAACAGAGTATGTGAGCTGTTGCCTGATAATATGAATCAGAATGCATAATAGCATACGTTATTGTGCACGTCAGCCAGGGTCAGAAGACTCGAGTCTGTAGTACAGTTCAATACACTTCACTCAAACAATTGAGTCACACCAAATAACACTGATTACAAAATAAGTGTTGTCTAAATGCACACTCCCTTTGTATCTTCATTTTCTCTCGCTCTCATTTCCTCTTTACATTTTAGTCAGTATTATTAAATTAAATTGATTTTCATTCCTACTGGAGACACCAGCTCAAGTCAGGCAACGTTCGACCCATGTCCAACTCTGCCAAAGAGCATGGTCAGCTGACCTGTGTTGACCCATTCAGATAGACTCTCCGTGTAGGTTAGAGAACACAATGGCTTCATTTACATTTATAATTTCAGGTGTCTCATGTCTGGAAAAGGGGAATATTCAGCTTAAGCTTAAATCCTACATAATTCACAAAGTTTACAAACAACCATTTATTTTTTTTAATCAATATCATGATATTCTCTGCAGCCATTTAAGCTCATTAGTCTCATGTAAGCCTCCGCCATGTAGCTGGACTCAGTATTGGTCAGTATTTGTGGCAAGGTGTGTAAAACTGCTCTTCTTTTCTCTGCATAAAGGCTGAGGCAGCACTGTTTTTGAAAAATGTTCTCGACCTCGCCACAATTTCATTGTCCTGTGCTGCATCTTGATTCTCCTCACGATTGCTCATTTTTATGTTTCCAGCAGTGAGTGCGTGTGCGCTTCTTTCCTCGTTTAAGCTCTATATTTGTCAGCTACACAGCCCAATTGCTGTAGTCTAATGGGGTGATTGTGCAGATGACTGACCCAAATGCAGAACAGAAACATTTGCCAAAAAGTTACAGTTCATCACTAATTATCAAGATCATTTTATTGCCCGGCCATACATTTTAATTTACACTTGGCACATAAATGTATCCCCATTGGCCAGATGACACACTGTCGTGGTTTTCCCTCTTCCATGTAAATCAGGGTAAGCCCCACACCAGTCCAGACTCTAATGCACCTAAAGCTGCTTTGTAACAACCACAGACATGGAGAAAAAAAAAAGTCATTCCTACACTTGAGGTTTAGCTAAAATAGTAACAGTTTAGCTAGCCTTAACTACTCCTCAAACTAAATCAAACATGAAAGAATCATGTTTGTGGACTAGGAATAAGTTTACCATCTTCCATGACTGTCTCACTCACACAGCTGTACACCCATACAGACAAATACTCTCTCCTCAACTCAGGCCATACAGGAACTGATCAGGAGTCAGATAAAATCTA